TCCCGGGAGCCGCTCCCGGGAAAACGGGTTGCAGCCGCAGAGCAAACCTCAGTGCCTGCCTGGAGGCGGTTCCCCTGCCGTCCCCGTCCCCGGCTGCCGCAGAGGGGTGCCGGGCGGGCGATGCTCCAGAAAAGGGGTTTCTTGCCCGGCTTTTCACCGGCGCTTCAGGAGCGCCCCAAATGGGGAGGTTCACGTAGATCCTCTTGGTCTCCCTCGGCTGAATCGACTTTACCCCGGCTTATTTAAGTCAGGAAATGAGTTTGGTGGTGGCACCCTGTCTGGCTCCACAAGAGTGGCCGGGACACCCTGACATTTCCTCTCCGTACCAGAATACGCGCTTTTCAAATACGGCTTTTCTTCTCCACTACTTTTAATTGTGGCCTCAGTTTGTTTCCGATACCGAAACAAGGTGAAGGGTCATTTTTCAAATTAGCTCCACAACCTTCCTTAACTTGGGATGCAGAATTCCCTGTCTTGCTGCGCTAGTCAGTGTTCAGGGAGATGTCACTTTAGCAGTCTCTACTAATTTAAATTTTATTAATGCTACAGTTGTAGAAATAAAAAAGATGTTTCATTCCAGTTAATTTTAAAGGTTAAGCTAAAAAAATCGGAGCACTACTGTTGCTTGCATATAAATCATACAAGTATTAGTGAACTTACTCTGAAGTACTCCGTTCTTTGATGTAATCCTACATATTGCACGCTTAACTGACACATTAATTTTAGTAACGCAAGCTCTTTTTTCTTTAACTTGGGAAGCTGACATTAACACTTGCTCAGCTGTCTTGTCCCCCTTTTTTAAAAAAATACTTAGTACCCCTAAGTTGTAATTTGGTAATAATTGTTGATACTCAGGTGCCTGAATATATGTTTAAGTTAAAAATATAAGTGATACTGTCTTAAGCCCAACAAATACCTGTGGTGAGTTTTGACAGTACTAAAATTCTGTGCAAAAAATGTATTTGAGGCATGATAAATTACCTTTTTCAGGATCAAAGCCCGTTCCTCGCTACGGATATAAACCTTCACCACCAAATGGTTGTGGATCCCCTTTATTTGGAGTTCAGGTAAGTATTCCCACTTTGGGGCTTCTTTGTGTATCTTTCATACGTCAGCTTTCCTCGATGTGGGTGGTTTTTTCCCTCCCCCATTCTAAGGGTGAGCCAGCATCCATGTACGATGTCCCTGCTGTTATCAGCTCCAGCACATGCTTTGGTAAAAACACATGAAAACATCAGTGTTGCAAGCAAACATAGCATAAACATGTTCATCATTGACATAAAATATTATAGGGATAAAATAAAGTGATGATGATAAATTTCTAATTTTTTAACCGTGTTTTGTTCTGTCTTGAAAGCGTTGAATAAGCCCAACTGTAGCCCTGTGAGAGTGGAGGGTTTGGCTCCGACTCTTGCTGTCCTTACTGACGCTAAACCATTTTCCTTAATGCTAGAAAGAAAATACGGGTTAGCTTAGGTACTGGCTCTGGCTGGGATGGAGTGAACTTTCTTCATAGCAGGCTGCATGGCGCTGTGTTTGGGATTTTTGGCTAAAACTGTTGATGGTTTTGGCTATTGCTGAACGGTGCTTGCACAGCTTTGGGACTTTTCTCTTTTTTCCCCACTCTGCCCATCCGCCGCCCCAGAGTGTAGGCTGGGGCTGGGCAAGAGGTTGGGAGGGGACACAGCTGGGGCAGCTGAGGTGAATCAGCCAGGGGGACAGTCCGACAGTCGTGCTCAGCAGTACAAACTGGAGTAGTGGAAGAAGGGAGGGGTTGGGGGTGGGGGTGTTTGGCTTCCACCGTGGCTGTTGCTCAGAGACTGGCTGGGCATCTGCTTGTGGGACGTGGTGAATGATTACTTTTGCACGGCTTATTTTGGGGCATTTTTTCCCTCTTTCATTCACCTATTAAACTGTCTTTATCTCAACCCACGAGCTTTCTTGCTGTTGCTCTTCCTATTCTCTCCTCCATTCCGTGGAGGGGGGTGGGGGGTGAGCAAGCAACTCTGTGGGTGCTTGGCAGCTGGCCGGGGTCAAACCACCACAGCTTACTAGAGGTGAACAGCAAAACACAGAGATAAGTGAATGACAGCTGGATTGATTGCATTAGTTTTTAATTTCTAACTGTTATAGTCTGTTCATAGGCTGTATCTTTCTTAACTGGAATACCAATGGGGGGGCGGGATTTTCTTCACAGTTTGACATCGGTATCCCTTTGATGACAAAGTGCTGCAATCACCACGACAGATGCTACGATACTTGTGGCAATAAAAAAAATGATTGCGATGAGCAGTTTCAGTCCTGCCTCTCCAAAATTTGCAGAGATGTGCAGAAAACACTTGGAATCTCAGAGAGTGTCCAGGGTAAGTGTGACAAAGCCTTTCTTTTTTTCCAAGTTTCACTGAGCTTATTTGGCAAAGAATCTTTGTGCAGTGCAGTAATGCCACATTTTCATAAGCTGATGCTATTGCTGAAAGATGCCTTGTTCTGTCCTTCTGTCGTGCAGCCCGGACACTTGTACAGCAGAGCAATGACACAGCGTAGGAAAATGATCAGGGTTAAAACTAACCTTGAGGGTAAAATTAATGCTTCCCATTTAGGAGTATGAATATGGGAATACGACTTGATCGAAATGCACGTATAATTCTTGCATTTACTGTAGTATAGCTGAATATTCACTGTTCTGCTGAGTGAATTCTAAATGTCTACTACAAGTGATGGCTAATAAACTAGGAAAATACTGAATTGTTTCCTTTTATGAAGTAAGATATTAGAATAATACTTTGTTATAGTGGAATTAGTTAATGCTATCCCTTAGTGAATAAATTTTGGGTTTTTCAGTAACAGGACATATGATATTCCTTCTGCTTGTTGACCAGCATCAGATCAATACATAGCCACACTTCTTAACTTGGACAACGTCGCTTTTACAGTACATAGTCCCACTGAGAGCAGGCAGTTTTTAGAACAAGCCTGCTTGTTTGAACTTCTCAAATTCATTTAACTGCAAAGAAGGCATCATGTTAGTGTTTAGTGTTAGAACTGGTGAATATTTGCTCAATTCTCTTGAGCTGCTGTTAAAGATCGCAACCTCTCCATAAATTGAGATGCAGAAAGTGAGAGGGTGAAACAGCTCTTTCATGTTTCCAAGACTGATGTTTCTAACACTGATAACATTCCACATGCAATGGATTTTCTTGTTCTTTTTGGTTGGCATATGAAAAGTCTTTACTCACAACTTAAATGATTCTGTATTGGTTTGGTCTTTCATTTGACAATCTATTTGCTATGCCCAGAGAAGACTGCTTCTTTCTTAAAATCATTCCCAGTTTGCCAGAGTAATTTCTGTTGGTTTCATATTCCACTCAAAGAGTACTTATAACTGAACTCCTCTTTGCTTGCAGCTTGTGAATCAACTGTTCAGCTGTTGTTTGATGCGGTTATACATTTAGGATGTAAACCATACCTGGATAGCCAGAGAGCTGCATGTATGTGTCGCTATGAGGATAAGACAGATCTCTGAAAGAAGATACTGAGATCTCATGGTGTAGAATAAAGTGAAAGACTCAGCTGGAATGAAGCAAGTGTTTGGTTACAAAGCTTTATGCTTTTCAGACAGTAATGTATTAAACACTGACATGAACATACTGGTTTGAAAGTCACTACGATATTCTTCCTAATGTAAAAAAGAAACAAGTCTTCCTTCTCTTCCCCTTTATGCCAGAAGCTTGGAAACTGAAATTAGTTTCCTTTGGTGTATGTCTGCTCAGGGTATGTTATCGTAAAACACTAGTGCCATTTTAAAGATTTTAAGAAAACTCTGTAATGGGGAAATCAGAGGCGCAGAAGAGTTGTATTGAATTCTCAGATGATTTTTAATATAGGTCAAATTTTAGGTTTACTAGCAGTCGATGCATCTGATAGATCCAACAGGAAAAAGCATTTCATGTGCGTTAATGTGGCATCTTAAATAGCCTGTATGATGTCCATGCTTTTGGTACAATTGCCCTCAGTTCTCTCTGATGTATGCTGTCCCGTGGGTTTGTTTTTAAAAAGAAAAAAACGAAACAAAAAAAAACCCAAACCCTTAGCAAGGGTATACATCTGTGCTACATATTTCTACCTGATTCTAGATCAACCTTACTTCTGCAGCACTTTGCAGATCAAATATGTTGATCCTTTTAAAGCTTGACCACTCAAATGAACAGTTTGCAACCTAAGGATATAATGTTGATTTGACAAAATGGTGGAATGTAGTTGCTACGTTATTTTAAAAATGAATCAAATGTTTGTTTTTCAAATAAAACATTTTGTGTTGTGTATTATATGCATAGAAAGGATATATTGTTCAAAGTTGTTGATTTATACTTGTCTTGTGGCGCAACTTAGTTACTGTATTCACCTTTGCTTTCATTTAGTCCATTCTGATGAAAAGTAAAAGAAAGTTCCACAGATAGGGTATGTCCAACAAACCTTTTTATTTAAAATGCCCTCTGTGAGGCTGACAGATATTTGAGCCTGTATTTCTGTCATCTGTTCCCTTTCTGACTTCTCTAGCTGTGTCCTGGTTTCAGCTGGGATAGAGTTAATTTTCTATCTAGCACTGGTACAGTGCTGTGTTTTGGATTTAGGATGAGAATAATGTTGATAACAAACAATGTTTTAGTTGTTGCTGAGCAGTGCATACACTAAGTCAAGGACTTTCCAGCTTCTCATACTGCCCTGCCAGCGAGGAGGCTGGAGATGCACAAGAAGCTGGGAGGGGAGATAGCCAGGACAGCTGACCCAAACTGGCCAAAGGGATATTCCATACCATATGACGTCATGCTGAACAAAAAGACCTGGGGGGAGTTGGATTGCTGCTCAGGAACTGGCTGGGCATCGGTCAGCGGGAGGTGAGCAATTGCATCGTGCATCACTTGTTTTGTACATTCTTTTATCATTATTACTATTTTCCCTTCCTTTTCTGTCCTATTAAATTGTCTTTATCTCAACCCACGAGTTTTACCTTTTTTTTTCCGATTCTCTCCCCCATCCCCCTGGGGGGGAGTGAGCGAACGGCTGTGTGGGGTTTAGCTGCCTGCCAGGTTAAACCACAACAAGCTGAAATCGCCTGATGTCTGAATTATTTGGGATTTGTTCTCTGTACTGATCTTTCATTGCTTATCTCCAGTTGTCAGACCTTAGTTAACTTTGGCGTTAGGTCCTCTGTCAAAGATTTTGATTTGCTCTCCTGGTGCCCTGATTCTGCCTTAGAAATCCACAGGAGGAGAGGACTGAAAAGTAAAATATTGCATTTGTGAACAGGGAGTAGAAACCATGCTAAAAGCCTCAAATTCACCAGACTCGTGGACTATAATGTGATTTCTCCTCTGGAAGTACTTTTATATGTTTTTTTCTTTACCAGTTGTTTGTGGTATCTTTGTTTTGTTTTTCACTAGAGTTTACTGTACATGACACTAAATCTAAGTGCCTCATAGAATAAAGTTCCCGCTGAAGTTCTTTGGCCATGCTTCATAGTTTCTTTTCATATTCGTGGATATGAAGTAGCACTGCAAGAGAGGTATTACGGTAGAGTTTTACAAAACCACATCTGAAGAACTTGTGGTTCCTCTAAATTTGGTGAAATTTATTTTCTGTCATAGAATTGAAACGACTCTGAATTACCTGAGATTCCACGGTTGGAACCCTAAAAGTCTTTTAGCACCAAAGCAGGGAATGGTAACGGCATTGCTTGTTTAAAATAAAAAAAAAACCCTACCACAATGAGTTCAAAACACTGCAATTCAACTAGAAGGCTGGTGAGTTGCATAGAAACAAGCTTAAACTAGATGCTTTAAATGAACACAGAAAACTGTCACTGTTGGGAAGGCTGGTTTTTGTTCACTTCCGTATTGACCTGTAATTATACCATGAAAGCCTTCCAGAGTTTCCTTCAAACCATTTATGACACTACAAAGAGCTTTAACACTGCTAGATAGCACAACAATTGACACGTTGATAGTTCTGCTTGCAAACCAGAGGAAGCATTTGACTTCTTCCAGGGAGTCTTTACTTTGCATAAGCTTTTCCTGTAGCAGAAATCCTTGATTACAGTTACCTGCAAACTATACAAAATACATTTTACAAGCCACAGCTCCAACATGAAGGCTAGGTATCACCCCCAGGATTAATCATACCATTTAACAACTTAGATATTTTTATACATATGTAAAAAAAATAATACTACATATATAGCAGTTCTTGGCATTTGACTCATTACTGCATGCTTTTATGTAGTCAGTAATACTCTTTAAATATTGCAGTAACATTTTTTTTTTGCAGGTTAGTCTTAATACTCCCTCAGGCTCTTTTGCTCTTCTGGGATGATCTGAATAACAGCAGTGTGTCCGCAATCAAACTCCCTTCTTCGAACTGCAGTTCTGATACGTCCATAATGCTTTTTTCCAAAAATACCCACTTACAGTGGAGCTACTGCAACAATCTGCAACTGTTTTAGAACATGTAGGTGCATGTACAACAAAAACTTCATATATTAAAGTAAGCTGGAAATGCACACCAGTCAAACGCTACCTTAGGCTTCGTACGTGTGATCAAGTTACTAGTGACTCATCTGAACACAGTGGCTGATTTGAGCATGCGCCTAGCCTCCAACAAAACAAAGTGGAAAAGGTGTTTGAACGTGTTATTAGGATCTAAGCTAATGGTTGGACTGAGGAACACTGCTGATACAAGTTCAAACTCTGCTGAACAGAAAGCTGTTACAGAGTCAAAGATTTAGGTTCTACAGCTGCTACTTCACACAGGATTCTTGCAGGCAGTGGGTGTAGGGGCAGCTCCACTGTGAGCTGAGAGAGCCGGGATTTGCAGTTTGCAAAAAATGAATCTGCTGGATAAGAGTCTAAATGTTTCGTAGTGGAAGACGCTAAACTCTTCTAATAGTATCATGTTCTAACTCAAGTATACACAAAGACAATTTAAACAACAGTTTTATCTTGATCTGGCTGCCTACTGGCAGTATGAGGATAACAAGTCCAAACAAGGGGAAAACAAGCAAAGGCACTTAGGAATACCCATAGTTCCTTTAACCAAAAGGGAGACATCTTGTCTGAAAGATTTAGTCGTGCAAGAAGCCTGTGTAAAAACAGGCCAAACAGACGGTAAAAATACCTAAAATCTCACTCTAAATCTGCCTCCATTTGTGCTTGTAGCAGCAATCTCTAAGAGCGTATTCACACTTGAGTTTATCCTAAAGCCTACCTAGAAATAGGCCGGATAGGAAATTCAGATCCATCCACAGTACAAATTTGCAAAGCTCTTATACAGAAGGATGTTTTTTGTCATTGGCTTTGGTTTAGAAACTGTTGTTTCTTATGCAATCAATCAGTGAACAGTAAGTGCCGTATACTGAAAAGGTGGGGAATATCAGCATTTGTTAAGATACCTTGGCACTCTCTTCTCAATGCCTTGGTGCTCTCCTCACAGTTCTAAGATCATCAAAGAGAACTGAGGCAAGAATAGAGCAAAGCTGCAAAATTATCTACATCCAAACCTCTCAAGGGTTTATACGCAGATGCCTGAATGAAAATGCATTTTGAGCAACAGTAGTCTTACAGCAAAGGAAACAGTATGTCCCTTTAAGGGGACTTCTAACACAGTTTTGAAAAATATCAATTTAGCAAACACAGTAGCTTCTCACCGTATTTCAGGACGATACCTTTGTATATAGCAGTGCAGTTAACGAAACACGGTCAGTAAAGCACCCCTCACAGGAACACAGAGGACGCACGACAAACTTAAAAAGTAATAGGAGACGCTTTAACACATCACCCTTCAACTTTCCCGGCTGAGTTTCGACCTACGGCAGCCGGCCCTCGCAGCCTCCCG